GAACACTATACAGAAGCCTGATGATGGCAGATGAGATTCTGCCGAAACGTTGCTACAACTTTAAAAGCACAACTATAATGACGTGGGAAAATACCTGAACAAAGCTGAATGTCATACATGAAAAGTCATACAGTATATACAAGAAATCCAGGACTCGATCTCTTTATGAATTACCTTCTACAATTCAATTTCCAGGCCTTCTCTCCTTGTTTTTCAAGCCATTGCACTTTTGGCTTACTTATTGCAGTCCTGAAAGCCAAATGCTCTTGCTCCCTGTTTATACTGTATATAAGCTCTGCTTCAGAATCCTTGGTTCCTGCCTCATCAGCTTCAACAGAAATAATACTTTATACCATGTCTCCACATGCAGACATCTGATTCATCAAAATTTTCCATTCGTAAACAGAGTCTAGCATAGAAGACTGTTCCTTATGTATTTCAGAATTATTTTAAAGCAATGAATGTGATCCCCTTTTGCAATCTTCTGACAAGCAAAGTCAATGTGGAATCCAGATTCATGTAACATCCAGGTACTAACTTATCAACTGCAGTGATTCACTTAACTGTGGCAAGAAAAGTCATAAAATGGGGCAAAATTCACCGAACAACTATCTCACTCAACAGCAGAAACATTGGCTCCATTGTAGTCGTAAGCCAAGGACTACCTATATTGCAGGCAAACTCTGCCCACATCCTGAGTTTGTTCCTGATAGAGCTCAAGATTGACTCAGCTTTCCATCCTTCCAAGGTTGGTAAAATGAGGACCCAGATTGTTGGGGGCAACATGCTGGCTCTATAAACCGCTTAGAGGGGTCTGTAAAGTGCTGTGGGGTGGTATATAAACGTAAGTTCTACTGCTCTTCTTTCAACTATCTCTGTTTGTTTCAACTAGCTTGATTTCTATTTATATGGCTGTTGATATATTACCCGTCCCCTGCTATTACACTGCTCATTTCCCATTAGAGGTATCTGTTCATTCTGAGATCAGCACCATTCCTGCATTTTTGTTAACAATGTCAGCATTAACCTGTGCCACAGCTTCAACCAGAGCATGGCATACATCTATCTCTAAAATCAAGGTGTGGGCAAGCCTATATATTTTATAAATAAATAACTAATTCAGGCTAGATAGAAGACACATTATAAGGATAACTTGTTTTATTATAGATAAAAGACCTCAACCTGCAACCACTCCTTTAGTGACTGTTCAAAGTTACACTGAAAACAGTGATTTACTTATGAGCATTTCAGCATCCCCATGGTCACATGATCGAAATTCAGGTGCTTGGCAATCAGCATCTGTTTACTACGCTTGCAATGTCCTGCATTCATGTGACTAAAATTTGAAGTTTTCCCAGTAAGCTTCCAACAAGCAAAGCCAATGGGAAAGCTGGATTCGCTTAACAACTGCATGATTCACTTAACAACAGTGGCAAAACAAGTCATAGAACTGGGCACAACTTACTTAACAACTGCCTCGGCTAGTAATGGAAATTCTGATCCATAAGTCAAGGACTACTTATACAATGAAGCTCTGATAAATTTCTCAGTTACTGTAGAAATTACAAATCAAACCATCTATATGTAACAGCCCCAAGGTTTAACCCAAATCTCTATTTCTTCCACCCTTTATGTCAGGGCTGTCAAACCCCTGGCCTGTGGCCCGGATGTGTCACACGCTGTCCACACCTCGTTTGGTGAAGTGGGAAAAAAATCCGAATACATCATGTGACGCCGCTATGACGGCATGAGTTTGACATCCCTGCTTTATGTGATAACAAACTTCTTGCTTGTTTCTCTGATTTGGGTGTCGAGCCTGCTTACCACATGCTTTGATATAATTAGTCCCAGACTTTTTACTTTCAACTTTGCCACCTTCAACCCTCACAGAATGGCACAGAGGACTTGGCATTGCTTCAAAATAAATTGGCTGTTAGGTTGAAAGAAATCATCTGGATCTCTTTGAAACGTTCCTTTCCAGCCATTTCCTTCTAGCAGTTCAAAAAACAGAAGACGAGATCTTCATGAAATCATCTGTGTAATGATGCGCAAGCAGAACATTCATTCCAAATGAATCAGATGTGTTCACAAGAGGGCAGACATCAAAGAAGGTCCAGAAAATGGTCCCTGGGGGTACCATGGACAGCTCCCGGCTAATAGACAAAGGACTACAAAAAGTTGGCAAATCTTGACTCAGCACCTACAGCTCAAAATGCTGGGTGACAGACATAGACAAAACCATTTTTCCTCCAAAACTGAGCAAAATGAATGAGAAAATGTCAGAGCATCTCTTTACCAGTTTAGTTAGGAAATACACATCCCAATAAGTTGTCACTGACTAAATAATAGAATATTTATATCCTGACTAAAGTTAAGAGTTCAGGTAATGCTCTGGTTGTTCATAATAGTGTGGTTCAGGACAAAGAAATGTATTACTGGTTTAGGAGAAGCTTCACAGGATCTCTGGTTCAAAACTGTTCTCAGAAAGCATGAGTGACTTTGGGCCAGTTCCTGTTTCTCAGCCCAACCCACCTCACAGGGTTGTTATTGTGGGAAAATAGGAGGAGGAAGGATGTATATTTACCATCTTGAATTATTAAAATAAGAGTGGATAAAATATCTAAAGGAAATAAAAACTGGAGGAATTACCCCATGGCAATAGCACAAAGAAGAGCTATCGATCGTGCTTAATTCAGAACTTAAAATAACTAAAGGACCAACCTCAGCAACAATGAAATTAAAAACATAAAAAGCAATTTACTGTTGTGCTCCTATATTTTTTGACTTAAGAGCCAAGAATATCTGCACGGCAACCAAGGATATTAGGAAAATCCATACCTGCTTGTGCAGTAAAAGAGATGTCCTTCTTTGTGCAGCTGCCTGGCCAATTCCAACTGATGGTTGTCCATAAGTTTGTCATTGATCACAACCAAGAGAGGTTTCCCAGCTTCCAAAACTTCCAAACAGCTGCCTGCTCCTGTAACAAAAGCACCAGATCATTCTACTTGACATAGCAGCGCCTGTTCAGCAAAAATGGGCTGATGGGAACCAAATCTTTTTGGATTAAATAAGAAGGCTCCCTTGCCCATGGCCAAATTGCATTATTTCATGAGTTGAAGAGAAAGTGTAGAATATAAGGCAGAGGTGTTTGAGCTGAGCACCCCATCTACTCACAAAAGTCTTAGGGTGTAAATATTCTTCCTGTCCTGTCCTCTCAATCAAATCAATAAAGAAACCTTTCTGTTTTTGCTTTCTAACTGTTGTATTTAATGTTACAGAAGGGTAAAATTATTCAATAGTCATGGAATGCCTTATTTACAGTATTAAACGAAGTCAATTTTATTCTGGTCCTACTCCTGTTTTCGTCACAGCCATGTTTTGGACATGCCAGTTAATAATTATAAGTGGATCAGGGTTCTAAAATGGCTGCATTCTTTTAAGGGAAACTAATATATTACTCACCAACTGACTTCTGGGCATTTTATAAATGCAGATAGGATTTCGTAATGAGTAAGCAGATACTCCAGATAGCACCTAAGTTTTGGTGTTTGTGTTAAAAGAAATTGGGAAAAATATTTTTGATTATGAAGTGACAGCCAGTTTTGTCTAGTACTTAAAGGGACAGGCTAGAAACCAGGAGGTTCTGAGTTCTAGTCCCTCCCTAGGTGTGGAAGCCAGCTGGATGACTTTGGTCCAATCATCAGGAGGCAATGAATTCTAGTCCTGCCTTAGGCATGAAAGCTGGCTCTGACCTTGGGCCAGCTACTCTCTCTCTGCCAAACCTATCTCACAGGAAAAGAAGGGACTCATCTTGAATTGCGCGAAATTAAAGATGGGATATAAATCTAGTAAATAAACATCCACAAATTTGACATAGTTTCTACCTATATATACTAGCAGTTAGTCTTGCATAAAAAACCAGTACAAATCCATATCTCAGACTATACCTTGCTTGGCTAAGGCTAGAAAACAAATTGACTCTTTTCTAACATTTTTTGAAATTATTTGGGCTTTATATTAGATATAAGTGACATTTCAGGTTGCAAACATATTCATGACTGTTTATAGCTGCTCACTGACCATAAATACAATAAAATTTCTATAGCTGTATCTCTCCTGAACGCAAGACATTTCTCTTTTAAATTCCACCTTCACATTTGTTTCCAGGGGGCAGTACCCCACATAAAAGACATTAATAAATTATCTACTTTTCCACATATAAAAAAATATCCTCCTACATTTTGTTCTTTTCGATGGGGTGTGCAAAGGTTCGCTAAGAAACTGGATGTTTGTACCAAGATGCTTTACCTGCATGGCTTATGATCAGATCTGCTTTTTTAACATCTTCAGAAAGTGAGCTCTTGAATCTGAACACTTCCAGAGTAAATGTGGCTGTGCTAAATGAATCTGGACACTCTTTGCCTCGGCCAACCTGAAGGACAAGCTTGCGACAGCCGAGGTCCTGTAAAGCCTGCATCAGAAAGAAACATATATTCTGAGGTTAAAGATAAACTCATTAGAAGCTACAAAGGTGAATTTACTTCTCTCTCCAATATGATTAAATGTGCATGACATACTATTTACAACTGTGCTTCTGTATCCTTTTGTAAGAAAAGAATTATTACTAATACATTATTGGTTAGGGTTGATGCCGTCAAAGCAGTATTGACTCCTGGAGATTGAGTGGGTGAGTCCCTGTTTTCCTGGCAAGGTTTTTCAGAAGTATTTTGCCACTGCCCCCTTCCCAGGGCTGAGAAATAGGAACTGGCCCAAGGTCACCCAGCTGGCTACATGCCTAAAGCAGAACTACAACTCCTAGTCACCCCAGTTTCCAGCCTGGTGTTTTAAGCATTACTTCCAACTGTTTCTCTTAAGGCTGGTTTCCTCCAAATATGTTAGACTATAATTTCCACCAGCTTCTCTCAGTGTAGCAATAGCCAATAATGGCAACTGTAGATTGAAAGAGGGATAATGGCTATGCTGCACACCACCCACTTGTTCTCATCATACCTAAAAAGCAATGCAGTGCTCTATCAAATGATCTAAAATGGCATGAGTTGGCCACCTGTTTTGCATGCTGTCAATCAATTCAGCAGGCATGCACTTCAATCAGAGACAAAGCACTGCCTTTTAGCCACCAACGTGGAATGTAAATTGTAGACTGAGTCATTTTAAGAAGCTGTAGAATTTTCAGAAGAGAATAAGGACAGGAAGGGCCATTGCAATCATAAGTACCTAATTATTTGATACAATAGTTCAATTGGTTTATAAAATAATTATGTAAGATAAGATTATATAAAATTATATCGGAGTTATGGAACTCCTATGGAAGATTGTTTGAGTATTGAAAACAGAATCAAGGGATATCTGCAGCATGTGGTCCAAATAGTCAAGATGGTGGCTGCATCTTGTAAACTGGCAAACAAACTCTACCTGAGGACATAAAAAACAGGTAGCTCTTTGTAGTTGTAAATGCCATTTGATTTTTTAAAAATCATATACTGTGAATACCCCACTCCTATTAATACTCTGCAAAACCCAGGCAAGGCAATCATTTTATCAGGAGTGAGATTCCCACAAAAGGATTTACTGTTTACATGGTTAAAATCATTACCCCATTTAGGAATACATTTTATGGTGTGTACTAAGATAAACTCCTAGCTTCTGGATTATACATTTTAATTGTTTCGTAATTTGTATCCCATTTTCAATTTCATGCATTCTAGTATTGTACACAGCTTGACTGTGAGCATCAATGACAGGAGGTAGGAAACCAGCAAATAGAGTTGTCATCTCTTTATGGGATTAAGCTCTGACGAAGTGCATGCAGCTCTATACTACATTCATGTCATCTGCAGATATCAGAAGCAGTTGCAAAGCATATAGATGGTGTCCTTTACATTTTAGAATTGGAATTCTTTTTATTGGCCAAGTGTGATTGGACACACAAGGAATTTGTCTTGGTGCAAATGCTCTCAGTGCACATAAAAGATACATTTTACTGAAATAATCAACAAACGTGGTCATAATACAGGAATTTAGGATTAAATATTTGACCCAAGTATTGAATCATCCTGAGGAATCTTATCCTGATGATCTTTAATAACACTGGTAAAAAGATGTCACCGGAGATTAAAAACAATAGGCTCACTTTTAACGGTGCACGTTTGCATTGGGGCGCACACTGGGACTCGCGTTTGAGCATGCATGCAACCGGCTCCCCATTTTGAAAGAGAGCCCTGGGATCCGCCGTATGAATTTATCGGGTTTCTTTGGCTAATTCAGGCAGCTTCCTTCCAAGCGAGCCAGAGAGAACTCGGGGGAGAATTGCACGGCTTCCCTCCCTTTCCGCCTGGATTTTCCCACTCAAGAAAGCTTTCAAAGGGTTAGAAAACGCCAGCTTGGATTGCGGAGGAACCACAGAGACGTGGCATGCCGGCGCCTAGAAAAGGCACAGGAGGTGACGCAGGAAGACTTTTTCCGCCCTTTGGCAGCCGGCTGTTTGCTCTGAGGCGTGGCGCGAGCTTTCAAGGATGGTGCCGGGGAAGCGGGAAGGATGGCGTCGGAAGACTCGCCTGGGTCGCTTCGGGAGTCGTCACGGCGACAATGAGGTCGTCGAAGCTGGTGGTGCCGACGGTAACGAAAACGGAATTCATGGCCGACGAATAGGCGGAGCGATGATAGAGAGGATGGCGGCTGGAACGGCCCCGAGAGCTGCCACACTTCCCGGACGAAGGGGGTCGCCTTAAGACCAGAAATGCCCGGACTCGTGATGTTATAGAGATATGAAAATAGACTAATGCATATCACCATGCGGTGCACGCATTCCGGGCTCCAATTAAAAAAAAATACCTAATTTTACAATGTCAGATTTAAAGTTTAGACGGACACCAAAACACCTCGAATGTAATGGGAAGGGCAAAAGAGCTGCTGTCCTTTACAATAATTGGAGTTGCAGCAGCTCCCATTAACGTCTTGCCAGCAGCTGTGCCGGTTGAGGTATATGGAATAGGGATTCCAAAGACAGGGCAAAGAAAGTTTTGCAACGTGAAAAAAGAGCCTACAAACTCTAGAGCCATTTCGTCTCTGCATCACTAGGTAAGCAAGAGAAATATTATATTTTGAGTTCTGCAAATTTTTGCAAATGCTTCTTAGCAATCCTTCAGTGCCATTTAATGCTCCTATTTCTTTTAAGAGTTCCAGCTTTAGCAACTTCAACTTCTGCCTTTCTTAGTCTTTCAGGCTGCAGCAAAGGTTCCCTCCCAGTTTGTTCTCTTGTGCAAGCAGAGTCATGCATTGGATTGTAAGCAGGCAACGATTCAGCTGCTTTCATATCCTTGCTTTATAAACAAATATACTTGAGTACAGAGTGTCCTTGACTTACAACCATTTGCTTAATGACAAAAGTTTCAACGGTACTGAAAGAAAACGACTGATTACCATTTTTCACACTTATGACTGTTGCAATATCCCCATGATCATATGATCAAAATTCAGACACTTGGCAACTGGAAAGTATTTGTGACAATTGCTGTGTCCCAGGGGTCCTGTGATCCCCTTGTATGACCTGACAAGCAAAGTCAGTGGAGAAACCAGATCCACTTAGCAACTATGTTACTAATTTAACAACTGCAGCGATTCACTTAATGGTTGTAAAGTTGGGCAAAACTCACTTAACAACTGTCTTGCAGAAATTAACAACAGAAATTTTGGGCTCAGTTGTGATCATAAGTCAAGGATTATCTGTATGGAAAGTCTGGCTGTCTGCTGTTTGCTTCTCCAGTCATTTTTTATTGCATAGAACTGTCCTAACTATGGTCAAGCAAACAAAAGGATGGAACAACAAATAGAAAGAAAGGATAAAAAGGAAATAAAACTTAAAATGATAATGATTGATGCAATAAATTAAGGGGAGAATATTCTAAGGGAAAAACAACAGGGAATGGAATTTCAGAGAGAATATTTTGAGAGGATAGGGGTAAAATTAGATAACTGGAAAAAAAGACAATGGAATACAACAGAGAAGGGAGGAATGATTAAGTGGGTCAAAAAATGATAGAAAATGGGAGACAAGCTAGGAAGCGATTAATTAATGCTTTAATGAGAGTAAGAGATGGTTGAAAAGGAAAAAGATAAGGATTCCACATGAATGTGTGTATTAATACTTAAGCTATATAATTGTTAATTGTAATAAACATGACATTAATATTTTATTATAGGATTATTATTAATATAGGATTATTATTATTATTAATTTTCATATTAGTTAGCAATTATATATCTTATATAATTGCTAACTAATATGAAAATATTGTAGGAAAAGAAATGATGTGGAATCTGATAAATATAAAAATAACAGTGAAATATGGTATTAGATGAAAGTGATCATATTACTAGAATTGTACAATTTGCTAAACGTAAACAGGATTAGTATTTTGTTTGTATTGTGACTTACAGCCAGTCCTCACACTTAGAACCAATGCCCCATCCCCATGATCATGTGATCAAATTTTGGTTGGTTGGCATGCAGCGTGTATTTACCATAATTGCAGTATCCTTGGGGTCACGTGACCATTGCCATTTAAGACCTTCCCAGACAGCTTCCGGCAAGCAATGTCAATGGGGAAAGCTGGGTTTGCTTAAAGACTACATGATTCACTTAATAACGGCAGTGATTTTCTTAACTGGCAAAAGAGGTCATAAAATTGGTCATGACTCACTAAACTTCTCTTTGTGCTAAACTCTGCACATCAGATTTGCTTTGTAATGTGGATCCCAGGGAAAAAAAGAAGATGCTAGGGTTTTTTCAAAAGTCCTGTTGAAAAGCTGATATTTTAGCAGGGTCAGCTGCCATCTTATGCTTACTTGTGCTCACTGCTATGCTGTGACAGACTGCTGTGAACTGTGTGAGCGGGGAAATGAAAGTAAGTGCTGTATCTCTGAGATGCTGCCTCAAGGTCACCCAGTTGGAAGGAGGGACCTATATACCAAACTGCGCTTGGACTGACTGTTTTGAAAATATCTTGCCTGAATCTGATTGGTTAAACTGGGTTGGACGATGAGATAGTTAAGGGAGGTAAAGTAGAATGTAGGAATGTTGATGTGTGATTCTCAGTTTTGGCTTTGCAATTCTGCAATAATTTGTCCTCTAATAAAACTATAACTTTGTCAATATGGAGCCAAGGATGATTTCTGTTTAGAGGCTTAAGTTGTGCAGATCTGACAGCCAGTTCCTTTCTCCTGAGAAGTAGTCTAGGGTCAGGAGGCTGAGTTCACACATTATGTTAAAAATTTATTCAGGGCTTAGCAAATAGTTGGTTTCACAGTCTATTCTAAACCAGGGCCTCCAGCCTTGGCTAGCTGTGGAATTCTGCGAGTTGAAGTCCACAGGTCTTAAAGTTGCCAAGGTTGGAGATCCCTGTTCTAAACCAAAAGTTTAGGCTTTTCCAAAAACTGAGTTACAACAAGAAAGTGCATTATGGCATAACAGAATAAGCAGCTCGTCAGCTAGAGATGGCACTATAAGATTATAATCTACAAATGCTGGTGTGGTGCTTGCAGCTAGAGTTTTAATCAAAGAGGTTTGACACTTATGTACATACAGCCTGGAAAGAGGGGATATTCTTAGCTAACCTCTACGTGTATGAACTTGTCTCAGAAAACATAAGCTGATTATAGGAAGTTGAGTCTTAACACCCCAATGAGGACAATGTTATGCCATAAGCTCTGATGCCTTTGCTGCAGCTCCTGCTCACCCTGCTGATCTTCACTTCTTAATGTGTTGTGACTGCAAGTTATTTTGTTTAATCCTCCTTAAGAACTTGCATTTAAAAAAGATAACACGCATAACCTAATCTTTCCCATATTTTTAATATCATGTAAAAGGACGTTTTAAATGTACCCTCTGATTAACTGTCAACTTCCACTGTCAGCAACTTGAAAGTAATCCTATCAAAATCTAACTGGGTCTTTAATTATGTGCCATTGAGTCAGGACTGACTCTTTGCGACCACATAGATAGATTTTCCCTGTGATGATGTGCACTCATTACCACTGTAATGGAGTCTGGCCACAATGCTGATCATCCTCTTCTCTCTCCTTACTCTGCCTTCTGCAGAGAGCTAGATCCTCACATAATGCATATGAAATAGGATAATTTGGAGTTGGGTTATTTGTCCCTCAAATGAGAAAATTGGGTTGATTTGTTTGACGTTACATTTGTTTTCTCAGCTGTCCATGGTATTCTCAGGAGCCTTCACCAACTCAAAATTTAAAATTGTTAACATAGGTAGTCCTCAGCTTATAACCGCAATTGAGCCCCAAATTTATGTTGCTAAGCAAGATGGTGGTTCAGTGAATTTTGTCCCACTTTACAGCCTTTCTTGCCACAACAGTTAAGTGAATCAGTGCAGTGGTTGAGTGAGTAACACGACTGTAAAGTGAATCTAACTTCCCCATTGACTTTCTGTCCCAGCTGTGCTTGTAAGTCAAGAACTATCTGTAACAAGAATAAAATTGGGCAACCTTTAGCATCTAGAAGAGGGCTGTCAAACTTCCGGCCCATGGGCTGGATGCGTCACATGCTGGCCATGCCCACGTCTGGTTTAGTGAAAGGGAAAAAAGTCCCGATACATCATATGACGACGCTGTGATGACATGAATTTGACACCTCTGATCTAGAAGGTGCCAATTCTTCCTTTTTGTGACCTGGTTTCCCCAAACATAAGAGAATAAGTCATGATCTTGCTTGCAATTAAGCCATTCTTTTGCATACCACGTTGAATTTTGGAAGATGTGGTGGACCATTTCTGAACACTTCCTGTGGTGGAACACACACAACCCTGGGAAGCAAACTATAGATAATCCTTGATTTACAACTAAAATTGACATTTGTTAAGTGAGTTTTGCCCCATTTTATGACCTTTCTTGCCACTGCTGTTAAGCAAATCCCTGCAGTTGATAAGTTAGTAACTGGTCTTTAAGTGAATCTGGCTTCCCCAATGACTTTGCTTGTCAGAAGGTTGCAAAAGGGCATCACATGACCTTGGGACAAAGCAACGGTCATAAGTATGAACCAGTTGCCAAGCGTCTGAATTTTGATCATCTGACCATGCTGAAATGGTCATAAGTGCAAAAAATGGTAATAAGTCACTGTTTTCAGTGCCGTCATTAAATGAACGGTTGTAAGTCCAGACTCTCTGTGTTCCATTGATTAACTCCATTGATTAATTCCTCCCTCTCAGGAAGTTGCATCCCTTTGACAAGCTTCCACTGAACGCTTCTTGTCCTGCCCTCAAGAGTAAGTCAAGTTCCTAATCTCTGTGACAGCCCCTCAAGTACAGCTAGACCTCGACTTACAATAGTTCATTTAGTGACTATTCACTAAATTCAAAGTTACAACGGCACTGAAAAAAGTGACTTGTGACCGTTTTTTACACAACATTCCAGCAATCCCTGTGGTCATGTGATCAAAATTCAGTTTCTTGGCAACTTATCAACTGCAGGGATTCACTTAACAGCAGTGGCAAGAAAGATCATAAAATGAGGTAAAATTCACTTAACAACAGGAATTTTGGGCTCAGTTGTGGTTATAAGTCAAGGACTATCTGTGTAGCAAGACAGTTCTCTTTCACAGACACACACCCATCCTTTTCTTTGATAGGCTAGATGAGGGGTCAGCAATCTTAATACTCAAAAGCCATTTGGACCGGTTTCCCGCAGAAAAGAAAACAGAGGGAGCCACAAAACCTGGGTGGGCGTGGTCAACTCGACATCACTCACTCCCATCCAATCACATGACACCCCATAGCCACGCCTACCCAGCAGGTCATTAGGACAGAGAACTGGTTGTTAAAAAGCACCGGGAACCACAAAATCCTTTTGACATTTCTCTCTCTCTCTCCATACATACGTGTCTATGTATACATATATACGTATATATATATGTATGTGCATATATATATATTCCTCTCGCCCCTCTCTCTCTCTCTCCCACTCCCCCCTCTCTTTCCCTCCCTCTCTCCCACTCTCTGTATCTCTCTATGTCTCTCCCTCTAATTTCCCGCTCTCTGTGTATCTCTCCTGTGTGTCTCTTCCCC